TTCCTGTTTTTCTGTTATCTATTTTACTTTCCTTTTAGGATTATCTCAAAATAAATAGCCTATTTCTCTTTTTAGCAAGAAATATGCGGTGCATTACTTTGTTCTACTCCAACCTCAATCACAACTTTCAAAATTGAACTATTTTATTAATAATTACGTCAAACCAAAACGGCACATAAAATGGGATCTATTTGTTCAAACATTCAATCTAATTGTTTGTTCAATGGTTACAATTGAGACTTGTATATATGTGCCTATTGAAACCACAAATGTATAAATAAATGAGGATACAAATTCCTGTCACTAGTATGATGTTCATACCTTTGAATCTCTCTTTTTTTGTTCTAGAATAGCATTCTTTTAATGAAACAAAATCCCATCACATTCTATGATGTTATACATTAACGCTAACTCCTTTTCCAAAAGTTTAGTTTCACCAAATTTTGTAAAACTATTCAGTCCACAATATGGTGGAATGGCTTCTGATTTTGGGGATGTGTTGGAGTGACTTTTTACTCCAAAATGGAGATTTAATGCAGGGTTGGGTTAAAGCCCTCCCTGGCAAGAGGTAAATGCAAGAGATTTATCAAGTTATCAGAAGTAAATAAGTTAAACATGCACTTAAACATGCTACAATGTGCATGTTGCATATGTGGCATGAGAGATGCTTAATCCGTACCTTGTATGTGTGGCATGAGAGCGATAGACACAAAAGAATAAATTCATGATATTTTCCTCTCCTTTTCATTGTCTTGTCTATTTTGGTAAGTTTTTCTCAATTATGTCAACCACAATGTCTATATTTAGCCATTGTACTTGACATTGTGAAGAAAAAGTTGTCAAAAACATATAAAACCGTTCAAATAAGGAGAAAGACATTCTACTTATTATTTTTTTATGTGCTTACCTCTCTCATGCCACATGTGCACCGTTCATGTTTTTGCATTGGAGATGCTCTAAGACTTCCCAACATTGACAAATTGAAACAATTTATAATTCTACCCCCCTGAAACTATGTTATTTAGCTATGCCACAAATTTATAACTCTCTTCACAATTAAATTTATGTTTTGACCTTTTTATCAAATTTTGTTTACCTAGATGGATATTTATTGAAAAGTGATATATTTTTATGACTTAAAAATACTTTTGAACACTTTCTATATGTATACAATCTTAAATCTTAACAGCCAGAGGTTGATTTTGAAAAACGTGAAAGTCAAAATATGAACTTAATTATGAGCAAATTATATCATGGGATCAGCACAACTTTCACAAGCTCTGGGGCTTCGTCCATCCCAGAGCGACATAATTTTATGTTTAAAAGATTTCTCTGATTTCTTCTTCTCTGTTTTTCTTTTCTTCTCCAATTCTCTTCTTCTTCTTTAGAATGCTAAAAACCAATCAAGATTTTACTCTTCTTCATCTTCAATTTAAACGAATCAATCTTGGTTTTTTTCTCTACCAATTCACAACTAGAGTTTTATTATCGTAAAACAAGATACATTGCCTTATAATTGTATTTGTATTTGTTCATATTTGTATTTGACAAGTCTGTAACTCTTGTTCGAGAATCGAGATCTTCCATATATTTTCCAATTCATGTGGTTTATATTTTGAATCTAACTAAGTTTACTTTGTTGAACAAGTTATATAAAAGGACACTATAGGTACAATTTTCTAACATATGAAATATGATTACTATCTAGCTACACATACGAATAAACAATTTAATATTTGGTTAAATATATTATTGATAAGGCTTAGCCAATAAGGCACTTCATTCCTTTCCCCCCATTTCAAATTGGGATACAACATTACTTCATTAAGTTCCCCTTTTAAAGGGCTAAAAATCAAGTTATAATTACCACCACGCCCTCTACTAATCCCATTGCGTAACAGGTAATGTTTGTTCACAAATATAGTGGCAGTGTGGATGTGGAAACAACCACTGTGATATCCTTGAGTTACTTTACAGGCACGGTAAACACGTTGTATGCTCAGCACCTCAGCCGTGGATTTCCAGAGCCACAAATTGATTTGAAAACTGCCGGAGTCATCATTTTTCTGATCGGCATAACTGGGAATTTCTACCACCATTATCTTCTCTCTGCCTTGAGAAGCAACAATGGTGAGAAGCAGTACAAAATACCCCATGGTGGGCTGTTCAATCTTGTGGTGTGCCCCCATTATCTTTTCGAGGTTTTAGGGTTCATTGGGATTTCGTGTGTTTCTCAGACATCATATGCATTCATGTTTGCTTTGGGCACAGCTTTTTATTTGATGGGGAGGAGTGTTTCCACTAGGAAATGGTATCTATCTAAGTTTGAAAACTTCCCCAAGGATCGGAATGCAATGATTCCTTATCTTTTTTAGGTATTTAAAGAGAACTTGTGCTATCTTGTATATTAACATGTATGAAATGCTTTCAAAGAAAAACGTGTATGAAATTGTCAAATGTCTTGTTCTGGTTTTTACTTTGGAGTTTGAACAGTTGAAAATTTGAAATGTATCTTTTCATGACATTGAGAAGTGCGTGGTATGATGGTACTTCATTGTATGTACGAGCACATTTTGTGGTACTTGAGTTGGCTGAAATAGCCACATGAACTAATGGTCAGTTTGGTACTGTTTTTTTGTGTGTGGCTGAAATGGTGAATTGTCTTGATAGGAATGTGATAAAATTCATTTCAGCGAAGCAAGTCAAAGGCTATATATATTTTACTTTCTTTCATCATTACCTTATTTAAATGATATGCAAAATCTACCAATTATTGCTACCAAATAGGACATAAGGGTGTTGGTGTTGTTAATATGGCAAAGAATCTGTTTGGCGACCTTGTTTTTCATTTATCAGCTTATTAGTAATTTTTTCACCAAACACGAAATTTTTAATTTTATGCGTTGAATTGTGTAATGCACAAAATAAGTAATATTAAAATAACTTCAATCCTTTTATCCTTTTATATAAAAGGATCTTGTATATAAATATTTTATATAAATATTTTTTTCCTTTTTATTTTATCTTTTATATGTATATTCATCTCTTTTATATTATCTTTTTTATATTAATAGCTTGTCCTTTTTATCTTTATTTCCTTTTTTTTCCTTTTGACGATATCATGTATCGATTCATGTTAGCTGACCCCAATATCGTTTGGGACTAAGGCTTGGATGTTGTTGTTGTATTACTTATTTGACTAAATTTGCTAAATTGACTAAATATGTTGTAGAAGATCATTTCGACTAGTTTTTATATAACTTGTTTTTTATTTTAATAATAAAATATATTTTAAATATAATTTTTCTTTAAATCAACAGATTTAACTAATTTAGTTCGCTTGGGTCAAAATTCTATTAATTTCAGCACATAGAATCAATTTTAGTATTATCAAATGAGCTTTATTAAAAAAAATTAAAGAGCAAGTGAAGCAAATAACACTATACCGATACCATATTTGGTAAAACATTTGACTTTAAATCGTGATATGTAGGTGTAAATAATATATTATCCATTCTTAATTAATGAAAATTATAACTAATAAGCTATAACAACACAGAATATGATGTGATTTTGTTTCATAAAAAAGGTTATTCTAGAGTTTCAAAGTTATTATGAACATCATCTTATGTGATCGGAACTTGTTTCAACAAGCACAACTATAGATGTAACCATTTAACAAACAATTAGATTGAATATTTCAACAAATATATCCCATTTTATGTGTATTATTTTGATTTGAAATAATTATTAATACAATGGTTGCAAAACATAAGTTGGATTGAGATTTAACTAGAACAAAATGAAACTATATAAACCACATATTTTTACGGGAAATAAAACATTTACTTTGAAATAATGGAAACTAAGATAGTGACACGAGTAAATTTAGAGTCAGCTGATTATGCGTAAATTTATGAACTTCTGGCTGAAGTGACTGAATTAGTTGATTCTGCTGAATTATGAAGAAAAAAGTTAAAATATAATTAATTAAAAAGTAAAGAAAAATTATACGAAAAATAGTTTTTTTTATCATATATGAAAAAATAGTTAAAATGATCTTCTATAATAACTTAGTCAGTTAGCCAATTCAGTCGGAAAAGTGACTTCAATATTACTTATTTGGATTATTACATATCTGACGTGCAAAATTAAAATTTACATGTTTGATGAAGATGTTAGCCGCTAAAGCTGATAAGCCAAAAAATTGGATCACGAGACGGGCTTTAAATGCTTGTTCCATATCACATGCTCCGTATTTTTTTAACTTTTACTGTTACCAAAAAATGAAAAACAACTTGTTGTTTTGTTTTAGGGATTTCGATTACTTATTAAAACAGAAAACCATACCAAGTGAGCCTTAAGTTAAGAAGTACTTAATTTATGACTTTGTCATAAATAAGTACTCATAGAGAGTACTCATTCCATTTAACAAGAGGGATAAGAATTATTTCTGATTTCCAATGTTATTATTAGTATGTATCTTAATCCTAGTAATGCTGAGTTTTTACTTTTGATGGCACGCAATGTTTTGTTGTTCTCCTGGGTGCTAGCAATATTCTTATACCATTTGATATTGTGTTCTTCAATAGCTAGTTCTTTTATTCCAAAAACTTGGGATAATATTGTTCTTGTGATGCCAAATTGCCAACGCAAGTGTTGTTCACTTGTTCGTAACCTAGTAATAGTAACTCAATTGGGAAACCATTCCCTAAACCAAACTCACAAAACTTTACAAAGCCAAAGCATTTGCAACAGTACCAAGTCAAACAGATAGAGATCAAATAAGTATACAAAGTCCCTCTCTAGCAAGAGAGAGAACCGTCTAATGAATTTGAATGCCCTAGGATGTTTTCTTTTGGACGGTTTTCAATTCTAAACCAGATCAGACAAGACTTCCGTAGTTATAAAATACACAGAGACCAGATATTTACCAGACCAACAAATTTCAATCCAAAAGAAAACATCCCTAGTTCCAAATGCAAAATTGAGACCCCATATAAGAATAAAAATAAACTTACATATAATAACAAACTCACATAGTTCAACAAAATTAATTGTGTTCAAGTGTTCATATAGAAAAAACATGATTTTAAATAACTGCCTATTAATACTATATAATATAACTATATTATAATACTAATATTAAAAAAATTGGGGCACCCAATTTTGGTGGCCCCTGTTCCAAATGACCTTTTGAACATGTCAAAAAATGGCCCTGGCTAGAGCCTTTCTCCAAGCCGGGATGTAACAGCTCTGAGCTTAGAGTATACCTTCCCCGCAGGAGACCCTAAAATGAGATGGCAAAGTGCATCCCTTGCGACTTTTATATTCAAGAAGGCTCCCAAAATGTGGATTTTGGTGTCCGCGATGACAATTCTGGTTGACGTAGCGTTCTCTATAGCAAACTTTGTATCCCCACCTTTACCACACAACCTCCCTATAGCACGGGACATGTGCTCTCCTCTCAGGGTCTTCACGTCCTTAATCTCAAAAGTGTCCACATAGACCTCATCCAGCCGCAACAGTGCCATTGCATCTTTAAGATCAAAGCCTAAGATGAAAGCATGAATGAAATCTGCACACTTCTGCAAGTGGCTGATATCAGGCGTGTCATGGCGCGTCTTAAGCTCAACCTTACGAGTCTTGAGATTCATACGGATGTCGATCTTCATCTCACTGAAGGCTTGATAGTAAATGCTCTCCTTCTCATTGTTTGCATCATACCATGCATCCTTAAGAGGCTTAATGCGGTGGGATGGAACAGAAATCTTACGGAACTGGACTTCCCCACCTGACACCTCGTTCGGGCGTAACGGGTTAAAAATGGGCTTCTCCACAGCAAGGGTAGAGCCTCCTGATGATTGCATAATTCTAGCTAGGTCCTGAACCTGGATTACAATATGAACAAACAAAGTATATAATCTGGTATGCAACTAACACCCGTATCTTCCCGACTCCAACTAAAGGCATAGGACCATAGGTTCCACCCCTTCCTTGAGGACTTAATTCAGTGTAAGTTTGACATACTTTTCCACCAGCTGAAAAAACATTTTTTAGACTTTTTAATAACTTGTTAGCTTTTTTACCAGATGAAAAGTTCTTAAAACAAAAAAAGTGTAGTGGTTTGATAAAAATTGACTCATTGAAACAGTTCTATTTGATACCACAAGTTGTTGTGAGCATCTGACAATTGTAACTACTATTAATGATGTTTTTAATTGAACTGGTTTAAAACTTCAAGTCCCAGAACAAAAAATCAAGTCGAATTAAAAAGATCCTAAGAGAAAAAAACTTTCACTCCAGAGCAGTTAAGATCAGCTTATTGAAAAAAGACATCAATTTTTTGAAACAGGTCCTAATCAGAGTTGTACCAAGCATCCAACTCACATCTATTAAAAGCTTTTGAAATAATACCAAAGTTAAAAGGAAACAAGGAAGTGACAACCAAACATACACTAATCAGAGAACAATAAAGTGAGTGTAAATTACATTCTATATGGTATCGACGAATCATATCCAAACACCCCTAAAACATCTAATAGTATACCTGATAGAAGTATATATGATAGGGTTGTATACTGAAGCAGAGAAGAGATTGAAATACCTTGATAACGGCGAAGAGTCCAACAGTGGGAGACAGTGGAAAGCTTGTTAAGCAGAATTTGAGTTGGGACGTTAGTCAAAATGTAAAATATTTATGGGCTATTGGGCTCATTTGTTGAGCAGAATTAGAATAGAAAGAAAGAAAGATCTTACAAATCTTTTTTTTTTAATATGATCTTTAAATATTCTTATAAATCTTTGTTGCCACATTATTGTCACATAAAAAATCTTAAATAATCTCAAGACATATAAAACACATTTTAAATGAGACACATATTTACCCCATGTAAGGAGGTTGGTCGTTGCCTATGAGGTACTAACGTGAACTTAGCATAATTTTCAAAGCTTTGTATACCAGAATTTAAAAAGTTGGAAATAATTTCAAATTAATCTAGATTTGATAGTTGATACCAGAATTTAAAAAATTAAATCAGGAAAATTGATAAAGCTTACAAAAATTCATATAAATTGAATAAATAATCTAATAATAATATAAAAAATAATATAAATATAAAATAGATAAAATTTTAAAAACATTAAAGTAAAATAAATAAAAATTCATAAAACTGAAAAAAAAACATTTTAAATGGATGTAGAATATACAAATATTTTTTAAATTTAAAAAATACTGACTTTGATATTCTGAAAAATTTTCACAATTTATGTATATATTTCTTCAAATTTAACAATTTTTTTAGAATTTTAAGTATTAACAACCTGCTATTACAGGTCAAAAGCAGATTAAATAGTCAAATCAATCCATTTTGTAAAGTAAGTGTACTTATATGATACTTTTTTTAGTACAAGGGCTTAAGTGACGGTTTGGAAATAGCACAAGGGCTTGTTTGAACAATTTTCCTAAAATCAATACTAGCACTTATACGTAATATTAGTGAAGTAAGGTTCATATGCAGAGGAAAATGTATATTTTTTCTTTATGAAATTGTAACAAAGGGGGAGATTTAAGATTATTTGACTTGAGAATAATTAAATACTAAAATGAACGAGTTATGTGATTTAAATACATGAAATAAAAGACTTAGCTTTGCTACTATATACTTAAAGTAAACTTTTAGAGGCAAACATAAAAAGGGGTGCTTCAAAAAATGCCTGTTAGGGGTAGGTACAAATTGGTTGCCCCAATTTAGAGGCATCCATTGTTTCCGTGATGCTAAAAGAGTGCTTTAGAGACAATAATATGAAAACTGCCTCTGAGAATTGCTTCTATAAACCATTTTTTGTAGCGGCAATTTATCGATGATAGTTATTAATAACGAGATCGTTTATTAATAACCATTACTAGTAGCTAAGTGTACAACACCGTCATATACCAACTTGATAGTAACATTTAATATCTTAATTCCTTTATGAAATCAAGTGAGATTGATAACCTCAACACAACGACTTCAGTTGAACCAACACAATTAATTCATCTAAAGATTACTAACCATGAGACCATGCATTAATAACCCAAAATTACTTGTGAAACTATCCATGATTAACCACTAGTCCATTGATCCTTTTTAGTAGCAATTAATGTCAAAGTGTTCACTAAATGTCACTTAACAACACACCAACATTATAAAGATAGACCAAGGAAAAAAATTAATATTCAAGAAAATAAGTTTAAAAAATAACTCAACTTTAACATTCAACAAGCTCCAAGAGCAAAACCAAGAAGAAAGAGTTTACCTCCTCATTTGGTGACTAAACATGGTAGACAATATAAAGAAAACACTATTTTGAACTAAGATTTAGTATATGGAAGAAGGGATATCAAAATGCGATGGACATTTTGATGAGGTTGGGTCGACCGGGTATAGAGGATACTCGATCGGGTATCATAGACAGTAGCTACGTAAGTGTTGAAATATAGTCATACCCGACAAAGTATGTGAATATACCTGATCGGGTATATGACCAAATTTGATTTTCCAATGTCCTCTTAATTTATTTGATCTGGTCTTGTATCCTAGACAGTAGCTACGTAAGTGTTGAAATATAGTCATACCCGACAGAGTATGTGAATATACCCGATCGGGTATATGACCAAATTTGATTTTCCAATGTCCTCTTAATTTATTTGATCTGGTCTTGTATATTACCAGGTCAAATCATACTCGATCGGATATTGATTATACCAGACCAGGTGAGATACCAAATCACATATCTTGAATGATTTCTTGCTCCGTTGCACCTTCCTTTGATCTTCTAAGATCTCTTCCATGTTTCTTTGTTGATCTTTGATTGATTCTTACTCAGGACTGTTTCAAAACTAATAAATTACAATTGTAATATGCAATGAAAATAAATGGTTGCACAGTAAATGTGCAATTACCACAAATAATACACCGTAAAAACTAATTAAAAGTAAAAATATACACACTAACAAATCAATGCAATCAGTTAATAAAACAACTTGATAACATTTCTATTCTATTTATGAAACAAACCTTGTTTTTGCTTTTTACTAGATCATTCTTTACTGGTTGTTGTCACAATTCACAAAACACAACTTGAAACCAGCACAATATTCTGATGTAGACAACTTAATAATTACCCCACTTAATGATATGCGGAGTTTACAAAATAGACATTGTGGAGAGAAATAACACTAAAATTAAACCACACGTCTTCAGGGATAAACCCTTCAATGCAGCTCGTTCAGCGCCTCCATAGTACGGCTCGATCATGACTTCAAATATGCACCCGTTCTCACGAGGATCTGACCGAGTCACTGCCCCAATGCCCGAGAACTTACATGCCTCATCTTCTTGGTTATGAACCTGGTAAAAGCTGTTGAAGGCATATGAGATGTTTCCCCGAACGTCCAACAACCCGCAAGAAGTCTGATACCCCAGCCGTGTACAGTCGCCTCCGCCACAAGCATCACTCACGCTTTTAGCCACTCGATGATCATTAATCTTGACTTTCGGGTCAAAGATACACCATTTCCTGTCCTGATACTTCACTCCCTCCACGGGAGCTAGCACACCCGTGTTTGCTGCAGACACGCCCGTGTTTGCTGCAGACACGACCGTGTTTGTGGCGAGGTTATATTTCGGTCTCCCGTCATAGGAAAAAATCCCCCAATGTCGTTCGAAATTCCCGGGAGCAATGCTTTTGGTGTCTTCGTCTATCAAACTGAAGAGATATGCATTAATGGGTAATCCAGGCCTCATCGGAGTGCCTTTCCCACTTGTTACATGATCTATGAATCCTTGGTTGAACTTCTCCGCATTTTTTGAAGTTGCATTTTTGTTCCCGTCTGTTGGCCAACCAATTTCCCCAACTATGATCTCCATGCTCTCGAACCCGTTCTTTTGTAAAGCCCACACAAGGGTATCATAGTTGGCATCAAACATGTTTTCATAGGATGTATCGTTATTGTTGTCGTCGATTACAGGATCCGGGTTCCCGTCGAAGAATGCATAGTCAGGCGGGAACTCGGGGTCGTTATAAACGCTTAGAAATGGGTAAATATTGACAGTAAAAGAGTAATTATTAGCACTCAAGAACCTCAATATTTGAAGAACATAGTAACGGGTTTCGGGTTTGAAATCGCCATTAGATGGTAGTCCTGTCTGGCTATCATAAATGTCTGCATTCAAGGGGACTGTAAGGGCTACTTGATTTGTAAGACCGGCTTTTAAGAGGGCAGAATGGACATTTTGGAGAGCAGGAAGAGTACTGTTAAGAAAACTCCCATTGTAGGTTTTCAAGAAAGCTTCGTTTCCAACCGCAATATACCTAAAAATACAAACAAATTAATGTAAAGTTCCTTAAATTGACCCCATTAAGGGAACACGAAGATCTTGTTGATTAGTCCCATAACTTGTACTACGTACAAGGAATTATAAGTAGTCTCATAACTTTATTTTCTTGCAAACTATATTCTCTAACGATTACCTTTGTCCATATTAAGGACACATACGCTTTACATACAATATGTTTTACATTATGTTCCCTTGTTTAAATTCAAAGCCCCCATGGTACCTGACATGGACTTCTATTTTGATTTTGTATGTACCTTAAAAGTGGAATTTGTATCTTTAAAATTCTGCAGTAGAGAATAATAATATGAACCACATGGCATATTTGTCATAAAAGGAAAATGAAACTTTACGGAAAATGAAAGCATGAAGATATATAATTTTGAGACGAAGAGAGAAATTAATCCCGATCGATCCTAATTGTGTATATAAGCATATAATGCATGACAAACTTAAAGGCTAAAACCAGATCAATAGTACTCCCTAAATAAATAATGAATTAATGATATACAAAGTATATTTGACTAAAATAAAAATTCCGGACAGTGATCTTTAAAGCACAACGGTCATAACAACGACTTAGCGACTATAATTTTGTTTAATTATATATTTAAATGACCACAACTTGGTGCTCAATTTCTCGTAGTAACTCTTTATTAGGAAAATTCCTGAAATAGAAGTAAAAATAGTATAAAATTCCAAAACACGAGTATTATATTTTTATTCTCTAAATTTGAGTAACTTATTACATGCATCTTAAAATTTAATTAACTTGTTTTGGCTTTACCAAACTTTAAGATTGGAGTATTACTATCTTAATTAACAGTATTTCCCAAGCATGATAGTTGTTAGTCTTACTTAGGGAGTAGAGACATATTATATTGTTCTTATTTTGGGATTTCACATTATTTTTACTCTTTTAGACCAATTTCAGTTCTTTAACCTTTATACAAATGTTTTGTCATTCTTAAATATGACAGTAATCAGTCATATTTAGAAAATAAGGACATCATGTTACTATTTTGAAATTTCACATTGTTTTACTTAAGTTTAGGGCAACTTCGATTCTTTAAATTTTTTACGAGGAAAATGTCATGTTGGTACTTGTAATTTGTTTTCGGTACGGTGATGTAAACAGTACACCAATTTACATTACAGATCATGAGGTATTCAAACTTGTTTCTAGCGAAGTAAGGAGTACATCAATTTACATCGGAGTTAAGAAAGTGATCGACTTGTTTTTGTCGAATCATTAAAGTACTTTCGCTAACTACATATTAGATACATTGGATTTAAGCTAACAGAAACAATGATATAATACTAAGTACAAATCTTGAAAATTTGGTGTATGCTAAGTCGACGTGTGAAACAGAATTGATGTATTAAAACCACATTTTATAATAAAATAGAAACAATTTAATATTGTCAAAGTCTCTAAAATTAAATACAACACCTCACATTTACCATTAAAATGCATGAGCTTATTTAACTACTGATTTATCAAATGTTTCGTGATTCTTATTTTTACCGTATTTGAACATATGTGTATCTAATATATTACAAACATAACAAACTTCCAAAAAACACATTAACACTTAATTTTGTAAAGCATCTCATCTTTTTAACCTTTTACCATTTTTAACCGATTTAACTACTGATTTATCAAATGTTTCGTGACCTTGAAATTGCATTTTTTTTCTTGGTTCTCCATCCATATTTGACCATGGTGCAATAACTCCATTGTGAAAAGTGAAAACAAGTTGAAATACTTCATAGCTTTGATGTAAATTAATTATTTTTACTCCACCAGTAAAAAAGTGAAGTACTTAATGAGATTGATGTAGCTTCATAATTTTACATACTCTTTACTCCATCTTAAACAAATTCAACTACCAATTTGAATCTTTTCTCCTTTTTGTACACTCGTTTTATTTGAGTTTTTCAAAGGGGAATATGACTTTGCACCTCACTTTTTGGGTGATATTGAATTGTGCACCTCATTTTGAAAAAACTTTGATTTTGCACCCATTCCACTTAAAATTCCTTTGACTTTGGACTCCATTTAGAAATTTTTATTCACAAAATGGTATGTGATGGGGTGCAAAGCCAAAGTTTTTTTAAAATGTGGTGCAAAGTCAAATATCATCCAAAAAGTAGGGTGCAAAATCAAATCCCCCCTTTTCAAAACCTCATACATGAATAAAACAACTTATCCTTTTATTTAAAAATGTGTTATGGTGCAAGAAAGCTCATGAGCTACGCCTACACATAAGAGCTGAGGCCAAGCAGGAAATAAACCAACCTGATGTTAACATTCTTCTTGATAAAGCTGGTGACATTTTCAGAAACCCACTCCTTAGCGGCATCCTTGCTACCCATAGATAACAACATATCATTAGGAATTCCAAGCATTACCTCAATCGCAGTGTCTCTTAGAGCACTTAATGTGTCAGGATCTGCCTCAAAGAGCTTAACCTGTTAGAAAAGTAGTATTAATAAAAGCGAGTTTAGTAAGATAAAATCCCGAGTTTAATCACAAATCACCAGACAAACCACCAAATGCAAGAACAAATTTCATCATATTTCCTACATATATAACCTTTCTGATCCCATTAGCCATTAGCATCTTCACCACATTCTTGGGGGGAAGGCGGTGAGACGTTTGCATCCCCCAGTTCACGCCTACCGGCAGATTGGCACCCGTCCCGCTCGCCCCCGGAATCGACGATAATGAAGAAGCAACTGCAAGGAGTAGCACCAACGGGCCATAAAGCCCTACTTCCAGCTTGGGATATGGACTAGGTGTATGATGATAACTAGGGCTCATAATATTCCCCGTGCCGTGGCCGGAGCTAGCACCCGAGAGACGACTGAATGATCTGAAAGTTTTGGGAAAAAATCAGTCATATAAATTTTACATTGAGCGGAACTTTAAAACGAATTAAATATATTAAAGAAACACATTATCTAAATATTTCAAATATGATCTTTTATATATAAAAAACCTTTTGTACATTTTATGGTGTCGTAAAAAATAAAGGCCAGACAACACTTGTTGTAAACTTGTAATGAATGAATTGAATGAATTAATTATCACTGAATCTTATCTATCAGGTCATCACTTAGTCTTAACTAAGGGCCAGATCAGATCAGAAAATGTGATCGTCCATCTCCAAATAACCTGTACAATATTAGATTATAATACAATACTGATAAGGAATCTAATGCTTTGTATATATAAGTTAATATACGAATATGTTTGACCTACATATATATTCATCCTTGAAGTTGTCTAGCTCGGTTAATTACGAAGTTAAGACCGTGTTGAAACTCAGGTATTAATTATTGTACCATAAGTACGTTAAAACTTATAACTAGTCTAGAAGTGGGACAAACACTTCAACATTAACAATCATTGACCCACATACAAATTAACACCAGAATTGCGTGATTACGCGACACTATATTCTTATCATCAAAGAATGAAAGAAGCTAAGCTAAGGTTACATTTTCAAATTCTAGTAGCTAACACATTAAGTGTTGATACTGAGATTCTTTTTAGTGAGGTGACCTAAACCAAAATTCGAGGATCAGAATCGAAAACCTCGGGCAACCTGAGCTAGAATCCGACGATGATTCTGATCCCGGGTATTAACCATTGACCATTAAGCAACATATTTTGAAGATGATATATACTTTTTGCTTACCAAAAATTGAATGTGGGCATGCGTTATATCGGCAACTTGATCGCTCTTGAAAGAAAGCCAATGAGGGGAAATAAATTGAAAGAGCATAGCGTTATAGATAAAAGTTTTCTATTAGACATATCACATTGTTTTGATCTATATAGAGTATAGACCACTGGACCCAATTATTTAGAGTAATTGAATAAATAAAGCACCGAAAATGATATATATACGCATTAATATAGACGACAACCGAAGGCCGGCGGTCAAGAATGAGATTATGAGACGCCGAGTCAAGCACATACTTTATTTTTATTTTTTCACCTTTTTTTGGGTTGTTTTTCTTTACTTTTGACTTTTTTAAACATTTTTTGTAGTGCTAGGTAGGCAAAAAATTTAGCTTTACACCTAGCATTTTTTGTTGACTTTGTTTTGCAGTTTTGATTTTTCCTAAGGCTATGTTTGGAAATTGGGGGAAAGTGAAGGGAATGAAGGCTTTGAGAGGGAGTTAAGGAAGATGTGGTTAAGACCCTCATTATGCTAATTAAATGTCCAAAAATTGAGATTTGTTAAAGTCCTACGTTTTTAATTAGTCTCAAATGGTTTAGTCTAGTATGAATTAGATGTATTTCATTTATTCAAGTCTAGTCAAATTTATATTTATTTATTTATTTATTTATTTATTTATTTATTTATTTATTTATTTATTTATTTATTTATTTATTTATTTATTTATTTATTTATTTATTTATTTATTTATTTATTTATTTATTTAAGTTTAGTGTGACTATATAAAACCTAAAATTATAATTCGATATATATTTTGTGCGTTTTAATTTTAAAAACATATATATTAAATAAAATTGTATCATTCATGTTATATTGTATGTAGTATATATTAAAATGCAAAATGTCCATCCTTCAATTCAAGGTATTGATATATTTTAAACAAGAATTTGCTCCATATATGATTGAAACATAGGCAAAATGTCATAATATAAGTGTTTATGTTTTTCTCTCATTTTAATTTTAATCCAAACCATATCAGGTAGACATGATAAACATGTTTTCATATGGACACACTTCTACAATATCATATAGCTCCAATAGCAGTAATTGCTCAAAGCATTCACTCTCAATATCCTGATGTCACTAACTATTAGAAATATTTTATTGTATTTAATAAAATATTTTATTGTATTTAATATTTTATTGTATTTAACTATTAGAATTTAGAACTAGTTATTAGACTTGGGCCAATTTGTTACTTGGGCCTTTTGTTTCGCATGACTAGTAAATGTGTAGCTTAATCCTCAGACAAAAGGCAGATTGTAAGGTTAAGCACATTCATTGACTCATTTTAGAGATAGAGAGAGCCGGCAAAGCTTACGAGCGTAATACCCTATTCCCGATTACTATGTACATCATTATTACGGTAATTATAATAAATGATCGATTCTTCTCTATTTTCGATTATTATTATTTATGCGTGATTGTTTGGATATATGAGATCGTATACTCGTACATTAACAATTATAGTTTGCTTGAGAATACGCAATGTGTGTACCCACTACTGAGTGTTGTGGGCTATATTAATGAATACATCATCAATGTTACATACAAGCACATGTATACATATCTAAAGTTTTGATAGTATTTCTAAATCATCCTCAAATGTTGATCTTTTGATCGAGTTGCACACCCCTGAATTCATAAATAAGATTTGAAGTTCAGGGAAAAGAGTGAAGAAAGTAAATATGTGAAAGACGAGAGAAAAAAGAGAGCGTATCAGGGTGGGAAGAGGTTAGAAAATAAGAAGATAATGGTAAACAAAAAGATAGAGTAAAAATTAAGAAGGATCTAAAACACGTGAATGTTAGAGGGGTAAAAATAGGGAAAACCCCTCGAGTAGAAATGTACACAAAATGGTTTGTTTGTTTGTTTGTTTGTTTGTTTGGAGATAACCCAAGATTATTCTATATTTAAGTCCACGTTTGGCTCATTTGCTTGAGATTTTTGGACAAAACTAGTTTTTATAAATCTTGATTGAGTTCAGATAACCTCGAAAAATCTCTAATAATCCAATTGTGGACAATTTTAATGTGTTCATGTGTTGGATTCTTTCTTTGTTTTTGACCCATGAGGAAAGGCCAACTATTGAGCCCATTAAAGTCTTATTTGGACTTTCTATTTTGGGAGCTTCTAATTTTAAAAAAAGGCCAACCACTATCTCAAACACAAGGACGGAAAGAGAGCAACGGAGTGAGAGCACAAATCACAAAACATGAGCTGAATGTTCATCCAGCTTTTCAGCAGGCAACATCAGAAACATTCCATTTCCCAGAGATTGAACCGTTGGATTGTCGTGATTTTTGGACAGCAACTTCATAGAATCTGGGCTAATGGTTTGGATGGTGGAGATCGGGTTTTGAGGTCCGGAGGTTGGGTTTCGTTGGTCTGTACAATAGCTATTTTTCCGGTGATATATTTCTTATCTTGGCTGTATTTTGATTCCATACACCTCGATTTTCTTACTTCTAAGGATATGATGATTTTGTATGCCTCTAGTATTATCTAGAGAGGACTTTGTATTGCTCCTTTGATGATGATAGTGGATTTAAGCAGCCAAAATGGTCATGTGGTTTTTCCCTAGTTTATGGGTTTTCTACGCTAAAATTTCGGTGTCTTTGTGTTGTGTGTGCTTACTGTTTTAGCTGATTATATTGGTGCGTGATAGCAGGATTGTGTGTGTTCTAATTTCATTAAGAACACCCTATTTGTTTGCATCCTCAAAGGTTCATTCAAGTTGGGAAAGTTTAGCCAAACAGAGATTAATTCCGCATTTATTTGTTTACCATTTGTGGCTGTTTTTCCCATCAAATTGGTATCAGAGCCAAGTTCTTTTGTATTGGATTAAACTTGTTTGAATGATGGAAGCTAACACAAGTAGTATGATCAATTTGAATGGTTCTAATTATCATGTTTGGAAAGGCAAGATGGAAGACCTACTTTATGTGAAGGATTATTATTTGCCCGTGTTTAATACTGAAAAACCCGAGAGTAAAACAGATGCATAGTGAAGTATTTTGCATAGACAGGTTTGTGGGTATATTCGTCAATGGGTTGATGATAATGTTTTGAACCATATCAGCGGAGAGACTCATGCTCGCACTCTATAGAACAAGCTTGAACAGTTGTATGCTAGAAAGACCGAGAATAATAAGTTGTTCTTAATAAAACATATGATGGGCTTGAAATACCATGATGGAACTCTTGTCACTGATCATTTGAATTCTTTTCAGGGAATCATAAATCAACTTGCAGGAATGAGTATCAAGTTTGAAGATGAGATACAAGGCTTGTGGCTCCTTGGCACTTTACCAGACTCATGGAAAACCTTTAGGACATCATTGTCCAAATCTGCACCAGATGGTATTATCACCATGGAATTAGCTAAAGGCAGTGTTTTAAATGAAGAGATAAGAAGGAAGTCACAAGGTTCCTCTTCACATTCTGATGTCTTAGTTTCATTAAGCAGGGAGAAGTAAGAGAAGAGGTCCAGGTAACAAAGGGAAGCATCGAAGTAAATCCAAAGGAACGTTTGCTGATTTAGAGTGTTATCATTGTGGTAGAAAGGGACATACAATAAGGTTCTGC